TTTTTTTGCATAATTATCAAATAAAAACTTTGTATCCGATGAAAAAAACAAAAATAACTTTAAAAAAAATAATTCTACGTATTTAACTAAAATAATTTAAACATTATATTTACACATCAAAGTATACTATGCATGATGCACAACCCYCCTGTCAAAATTCATGGCGGCGCYTACTCGTTTAATAATATTAGCTGAAGCACCGTATGCTGCAAAGTTTTACGGTACCTATCCCTTATTAGGATTATCAATTTCTGACAAGTAAATGCCTTTCCCGAAGGGTATACCCACTTAATACAAAATCCCAAAAAATATCCAATCACTACCACTTTTTAAGATTCGATATGCTGGAAAAAAAAATTATAAACTAAGTATGAAACAAAAATCGTTTTGACGATTTGTCGTAATTATTATGTATTATATAATACCTAATTAACATTGTAAATACTATAATCGTATTAAAATTGTTTATGTTTATTATTATTTTTAATTATAMAAAAATATTGAACACAATCGGCTGTAAAAATGTGCAAACATTATTATATCCTTTCAATTAAATGTGTAAATCTTACCCCATGTGGCCATGTACCTATATAATATATCGCTGTTTAATATTCGGAGTTTGTTTTAATTTACAACAATAATATAGGTATATCTTTAACATTATATTTTTATTACGGTTCTTTGTCAGTAAAATAACRTGTTCGAATAAACTAAAAATAATAATACCTACACTTTACAATTCATCAATACAAGTTAAGATTTACTTATTTATATATATATATATGTATATTTTTTTTACGTTAGTTTTATCAAATTATTCTGTACGAGTATAAATATAATTGAAAATGCCCTGTAGGGGACATTTACCATCGTTTTTTATTTTCCTCTTACATCAATATAAGTGCTATCCACTTGAATGTTAATAATCTTATTCATCTCTTTTGTGTATAAAAAACTAAAGTAGTTGGTTGAAACTAAGTAGAATAACGATATCAAAATATAGTACCCATACGATAGACAGAATATGTACAGACAGACACATGTCTGTCCAGTGTTCGTCCATACAGATACCTACAAAGAGAAARTGTATGCATGCCTACAGTTCATACAAAAATGTTATAACCTTATAAATAATGTATGTTTAATATTGATTTAATATACTATATTTCTAAATATTATTTGTGTAAATAAGCCAATTGTATTTGGTTATAAAGTTGTTATATTATCCTATTTTTTTTTTTTTTTTTTTACTTAAAAATTAATCAAACTTACTAAAACGGTAAAAACGTGGTGAGTTGTTATAAATATTATTACTTTGGAAAAAGAGTTGATTAAAATATTATTGTTATTTAAGTTAAAAAAAATATATATGTAAAATTATGATATTGTATTTAATTTTGTTTATCGAAAACATATTGCATGGTCCTACCTATATACCTAATAGTCCTAATTTACACCTTCCACATAATATTATGAATACAGATTTTTACAGGGCAAGTATATTATATAGTTATAATCTTATAATTTAACAAGCGCCATATTGTTGCTTCTATCATTAATTTWTTAAGTGCAATTTGCACTTAACCCTATTTGTTTAGTAAGTTAGGTATTCTATTATTATGCCATCTAAGCATTGTTCAATGCCGATACAAATTCCTTGTTTTTGAACAAGAATTTTTATCATGCAAATTTTTAAACCGGTTATTTTAGATTCTGAGCGGAGCGATGAATGTATTGATTTTATCATGATGTGTGTATTTTTTTTTTTTGTATCTGTCATCACGTTTTGGGGCAGTAAAAGTGCTCCGATTTTTGACTTCAGTACCTCGTTCGATCAGAAAGTGAATCTATATAGTTGCTACTTTGGGAGGTCAAAAGTAAAAAATTCTTAATACTTTTCTAAATAATCGTGAAAAACCAACTAAAAATTAAGGGAAAAACGGGAAATTTTACGCACAATCAGTTTTCGACAAAATCGGTTTTGATTTTTGATGTAACTTTACAGCAAATGACCATAGATACATGAAATTTTCACCGAATGTTTATATAAGTAGGTTTATTCTATCCACCATGCAATTTTCGACTTAAGTTGAACTATTCATAGATATTTGCAATTTTCGATCATTATAAGTTTTTTTAAATTAATATCGATAAAAATGTATTTGATAGGCAGAAAAGCTTGAAAATTTAATACAGGGCTCTTAATATATTGTTACCATAGCAGTTGAAAAGTAAAAGAAATTCAGTCACAATTTTTTTTTTATAAGCATTCAAAATTTGAATTTTGACAAAATATGTAAAAAATCACAAAAATTAACTAATTATTTAATTTTTTTTTTTTATTTTTACAAGAAATAAACAATCTGTAGGTAACACAAATTATATCTAGACACAATAGGAATAATAGGATTATATGGTAAAAATTAACAGGACATGATATTGATATATTGTTGAAAGGAGCTACCCATTGATGGAACTTTCTGTTAGCTTGAATAGTTTATTAGTTTAATTTAATAACATAAGTTAATTTAATTTATAAATTTTTTTTTTTTTTAATTAATTTAATTTAATTTAA